TGAACTTTGTAAGTAAACTAGTATAAAAGAAAAACTTTATTTAAAAAAGAATCTTAGAAAGACCAGATATACTGTTCTTATAGAAAATGTTAATACACTTGAGACTATGGACCTTATACTCTCTTCAAACATGCATCTGAACCTACTCCTCAGGATCACTTTTTAACGAAATATTTTAAAAATATTTAAAATATCAATGATTTAATCTTACATCTATAATCAGTGCCCTTGGTACCATCAAGCATATCAAGAGACTGTTGTTGTTGTGTTGATTGCCTTCGAGTCGAGCACTACTCATAGTGACCCTCTGAACAAAAGGCCTGAAGCACCTCTATAACTATTGACATTTATCAAATTTCATAAGTTTCCGGAGGCAAGTTGTTTAGGAAGTGGATACTACTCCTGCTTCCAAACCTGTCATAGACTGTTATTGGTTGAGTCACCTGCAATACATAGCGACCCTATGTACAGCAGGTCTGGACCCTTCCCTGTCCTGAGCCAGTCTTATTAACTCCAACACACCAACCCCCATCACCCCCGTTACTGTATCAATCCATCTAATTGGAGGTCTCCCTCTCCTGTGATGTCCATCTCCAAGGATTTAGATCTCCTGGCCACGTGCCTAAAGTAAGTGAGGTGGAGCTTCAAAATCGTAGCCTACAAGGAGAGACTTGATTTCATCCTCTCCAAGAAAGACCTACTTGTTTTCTTGGCAGTCCATGGTACGTTCAAGACTCTTTTCCAGCACCATAACTTGAAGGCATCTATTCTTCTTCTGTCATCTTTAGTCATTGTCTGAAGCATAACAAGTGATTGAGAAGACCATGGCCTGGATTAGGTGCACTTTGTACCTAGACTGACATTGTTGCTCTTCAGCACTCTGGAGAAGTCCATGACAGCAGATTTTCCCAACAAAATTCATCTTTTGATTTCCTAACTGCTGGTGTTAAGAAGTTAATTGTGGATCTGAGCAAGGTGTAATTGTTAACAACCTCAATCTCTTGTCTATCTAATATGGTGCTACCAATTGGCCCAGTGGTGAGAATCTTTGTCTTCTTGATGTTGAGCTTCAATCCATATTGAAGACTATAGTCCTTGATATTTTTCAAGTGCTTTAGGTCTTCCCTAGTTTTAGCAAGCAAGGTTATGTCATCTGCCTCTCTGGTTGAAATCCACTCAGCAGGAGAAAGATGGGCAGTCTCTTCCCATATGATTTATAGACTTGGAAAATCCACTGGAAGATCAACTAAGAGTTGGTTCTGATTCCATGGAAATGAGTGAATAAGTGAATTAATAACGTGACTATGAATACACATAAGGAATATACTATTCAAAACAATCAAATAAGACCAAAAGGGAAACATTGTGCAAAATCAAGAGTTGGAATGCAAGAAAGAAGGAAAAAGAAAAGAAGGAACTCGAGGCATTCATGTGAAGAGTGTTGTTACACTGAGGAGAGTGCAACCAATGCCATGAAACAAAATGTGTATAAATTGTTAGATAGAAAACAAATTTCTCTGAAGATTTTCAACCAAACCTCAATTCATACAAAGACTGAAGAAAGTTGTTGATAAATTATGGGGGAAAGTGTAACTTTCATTTCCCAACAGAATTTGAGTTGTCTCCCAAGAAATTTGCCACCACTTCCTAATTTCACAGGACTTGACTATGCCACTCCTAAACTGAAGGGAGCTCTGGTAGTTTAGTCCATAAGGGTTTCTACTGTTAACTGAAGAGTTCTGATTCATCAGCCACAGAAAAATGGACAATCTCTGTCCGTTATAATTGACAGCCTCAGAAAACCTGGTGGACAGAAGAGATGAGTTTGGAATTTGCTCTAATTCAGTGCATTTCAGGTTGCAAATTTCTTCAGAAGGCTATAAAAATGTGCTTTATGAAGAAGAATGTGGCATCAGGATTGGATAAAGACTCATTAACAACCTATGTTATGCAAATGACACAACATTGTTTGATGAAACTGAGGAGGACCTGATGCGCTTACTGCAGAAGGTCAAAAAGTCTTCAATATGGATTGAAGCTCAACATCAAGAAGACAAAGATTCTCATCACTGGCCCAATTGGCAGCACCGTGATAGATGGAGAAGAGCTTGAGATTGTTAACAATTACATCTTACTCAGCTCCACAATTAACACTCTTGGCACTAGCAGGCAGGAAATCAAAAGATGAATTAATTGCTTTAGGTAAATCTGCTGTCAGGAACCTTTCCAGAGTACTGAGAAGCAACGATGACAATCTACAGACTAAGGTGCACCTGATTCAGTCCATGGTCCTCACAAAGAGCTGGACAATGACTAAGGCTGACAGAAGAAGAATTGATGCCTTTGAGTTGTGGTGCTGGAGAAGAGTTTTGAACATACCATGGGATGCCAAGAAAACAAATAGGTTTGTCTTGGAGAGGGTGAAACCAAGTTTCTCCTTGGAGGCTAGGATTTTGAAGCTTCATCTCACATACTTTGGGTACATGGCCAGAAGAGACCGATCCTTGGCGAAGGATAGCATGCTCAGAAAGGTGGAGGGACAGCACAGGAGAGGACAACCCTGGATGAGATGTATTAATACAGTAACTAGGACAAAGGCGATAGGTGTGTTGAAGTCAGTGAGACTGGCTCAGGATAGCAGGCTTCAGAGCTGTTGTACATAGGGTTGCTTTGAGTTGCAGGCAACTCGATGGCACATAACAACAACAACAACTCCACATCTAGAAATAACACTTAAAATGCTTCTCCTTCTTGTTGCTCTAATTTATCAATGTATACTGAGGTGTATATAATATCCATTTTCTGCTATACATTTGTGCCTGGATGACAATACTTGTGTTTTAGGCAGATTTCCTGGAAGGTGAAAGCATAGAAAGTAGGACTGGAAAACAACAACAATAATAAATGAAAATAAAAACCCATCAATTGCTGTCAAGTGGATTCTGATTCATAGCTTCCGGTGTTTTGTAGGCTTCATAGCATCTAAAGAAGCAAACGACTCAATCCCACTAAAGTCAAGTAGATTCAGAATCAGTTACCCTAAAGGATAGAGTAGAGCCTCTTTTGCATGGTTCCTAAGGATATAAATCTTTACAGAAGTAGATTGCCTCATCTTACACTCACACCACTCGAATTAAAAACTAAGCACTTTAACTACTACACCATAAGGGTCAAGTAAAATGAGGTCTGGAATTTTAAGCACAAGTTTCATTGTTTTTGTCTTTGCTATGTACGTAGGGTCGCTATGAGTCGCAAGCGACTCGATGGCACATAACAACAACAACAACAATGTGCGACTGAGTCAGAACTGACTCATAGCTGACTCTTCTGTGATTTTACAGAGGCAGTAAAGAGCCTGGGAGGAGATTGTCTTTTTTTCTTATGGGGAACAGCTGGAGAATCTAAACTGCATGCCTTTGGGCTAGTAGCACAACTCTTTACCATTAGGATACCAAAGCAATTTTCATTACCAATATACGATTTTGCCTGAGAAATGGCATATATTTCATATAATACTGGATTTGAAAATACCAAATTGCTCAGTCATTTGTATCTCATTATCAAATACTTTGGGACAACTTAGTCAATGTTTCTAAGATTGGTGTTTAAATACATAATTTATACATTAGGTTTGGGTCATTTATAGTGATTTTTATGGTGATTGGGAGTTCAATAGTATATTTTATTACATGAGCAATTTCTTCATGAAAATAGTTTGTTATTTCTAGTAATTTGGATAGCAAGTTAATGCCCTTACATGCCTTTATCATTTTCATGCATTTTAAACATCTTCATTTCATTGAGTTTTTTGTGGTAGTCAAACCAAGAACCAAACCCACAGCAGTCAAATAGATTATGGCTTAGTACTCCAGTAAGTTTTTGTGGGGGCTATAAATCCCAAAGAAGAAGATTGCCTATCTTTCTTTCAGGAGCTGTTGGTAGACACTAACCTCTAGAGAGGTGCCACTTCTGGGTTAACAACATAAGTCTCTACCTCTTTCTACATGACCAGAGCTTCTCTCTCCTCTCCTCTCCTCTCCTCTCTTCTCCCCTCCCCTCCCCTCCTCTCCTCTCCTCTCTCTCTCTCACACACACACACAGTTGTTGTTTACAATTGATTCATAACTGACCCATGGCTGATAGATACTCCAGTGGTTTTCACAGGCAGTAAATCTCATAGGAGGAGATTGTCCACATATATCCCATAGAGCTGTTGGTGGATTTAAATCACAAAACTTTGTACTGACAGCACAATGCCTTATCACTAAGCCATCAAAGTGTATGTGTGTGTACACAAACACAGGTTTGACAATCTCATCCCATGTGATTAACTGCCTCTGAAAACCTGCTGGAGGGTCAGCTATGAGTTGATTCTGACTCGACAGTACACAACAAACAAACAAACAAATAAATAAATAAATAAAATTATCCTTATATTTATCATCAGATGAATATAAATAAAATTATCTTTATATTTATCTTCAGATAAATATTTAGTAAAATATAGTAGCTAGCTTCTGGAATCTGAAAACATAGACTACCTTTAATTTTAGGGAGGAAAACTATAAATGTGATGTGATTTTGTGACTCTTAGAATCCTCAAAATAATCTTTTGGGTATAAAGATACCCTATCCTTAGCTGGTGTCATCTAGAAATTTAAGTGGGTTACCGAAGATGGCGGCAGAGGCAGAGACAACGTGGTGAGCTGTGGGAGCAGCAGATCACTTGGAACAGGGCCACTATGGCCTCCTGCAGACTTCTGTTTATTGATAATTGAACAGTTAAACAGTTGATGACTGGTCTTCAGTGAGGATTGAGGCTCAACAACAGGAATTCAAGGATTTGCAAGGAAGAATGGGTGAGTGCCACGGCTCCCAACCCCGTCCCACAGAGCCCGCACTGCGCGGCACTGCAGCTGCAGCTCCATGAAGCTCCCACCTATGGAACCTATGGAATCCTTCACCCAGGATGGAGAGTGGGCACTGGGCCTCCCCAGGACTGGTGCAGCGGAGCTGCCACACTGTGGCAAAGTGGACTGGTTCTGGGGAGAATTCTTGGAGCCAAGATGGCAACGGCAGGGGAAGCGTGTGGACACTGGCCTCCCGCATGCGAGATGAAACATGACTGCCAGCCACCTGTGTGGGAGATGATGCTTGGGAGATGGCTTGCACATGGAAGATGACACTCGCCCAGCAGCAGCCCGGGTGGGGGGGATGGCGCACATCTGCTGGCTGCCTGTGTGGGAGATGGCGTGTGCCTGCTGGCCATCCATGCTGGGGGATGGCACGCACTCACACCCACTGGCTGCCTGCACACAAGATGACGCATGCCTGCCGGTTGCCCGCACACAAGATGACGGTTGCCCACCAGCCACCTGCGCTGGGGGATGGTGCCCACTGGCTGCCCGTGCATGAGATGACACGCACCTGCTGGCCACGTGCGTGAGAGATGACATGCGGGAGATGGCAAGCGCCCACCAGTCGTCTGCACGCGAGATGACGTGCGCCCACCGGCCGCCAGTGCTGGGGGATGGCGCGCACCCACCCCCACCAGCTGCCCGCACACGAGAAGATGCCGGCCAGCCGGTTCCCAGTGTGGGAGATGACGTCCGGGAGAAGGCAAGCCCCCACCAGTCGCCCACACTGGGGGGTGATGTACACCCGCCAACTGCCAGCACGGAAGATAGGGCACATGCCCCACTGCCCGTGGGGGAGGGATGTGCGCCCCGCCACCTACAGGTTTGGGTTTCCTTGGAAAACCAGAGATGATCGCCTATACAATGGATTGTTGAAAGTCACTGTGAGTTGTCTACTTGATGACACTTAACAG